GCCAGAATATAAATTAAGGCACATAGCAAAACAGCCTGCTTTTGCAGTTTGTGTTAGTGCATAACAAGTCAAACTGTTTTCAGTTTGAGTCCCTTTCTCTTACAAAGTTAATGAGCTATTAACAGTATTACCTTGTGTTTGAGACAGAGAAAAATTCTGAGATGGTTTCAGACACCTTGGAATTAGATTGTTTAATGTAAGAGCCTATCAGCTGCATTAGAGATCACTTAAAGGGTGATCAAGTTAAGATCACTTGAAGGGTGAGTGTAACTTGAACAGTAATAGCTAACTTTTTACCTGAGTAATTTATGCTGAGGCTTACTACTAGCAAAATTGTTGTGTTGGGAGAAAGTTCAAGATATTGATGAGACAAAGCAAGGCAGTTAGGGCAGCAGAGATCTATATTTCTAAGTTACTCTGGATATGTAGTACATTTTGCAGTGAAGCATTTGTTAATGTTAGGGAGCTGTTTTGAACCACCTTCTCTTCCTTGCAATTTCAAGTTCTTCTAATTTGGTGGTGTATGGTATACAGTCTGCGTGTACAGTATGTCTATGTTTGTTTCAGACTCAGTGTAAACCTTACTGTTTTCTTAAGTCTGGTTACTCTTAACTAAAGTCACTAGATTCTCAACTCTTGTACGCCCTTTGAATACTGAAAAGTTGCTGAATTGAGAAAACTGGAAAGTGCTAGTATAAGATTCCTCAAATTATGGAATTTGTGTGCAGGTTGTCATCTTTCTACATTATGGTGGTAGGCATCACAGCTGTTGATGTGTTTTATTTGCAGTTCTTGAATAATTGTTTCTATAGATCCAAGATTCCCCAAAACATTCTTGCTTATCAAAGTTTCTGCAAGCTGATTTTCATTAACTTTTGCAGGTGTTCCCTGGGGTGTGCAGCTGGCAGCTGTATATTCACTATGTGACTTGGGTTCAAGCAATCCAGAAGGCATTGTTGAGGCCATCCATGCTTGGAGAGCAAAAGTTCTTAACAACATCCCTCCTGCTATCACAAATGGCATAGCTGAAATCACTTCTCTATGTGAAATGGAGCTAAACTAAAATGTAGCGAAGTGGACTGATCTAAAGGAAGAAGTGCCTTACCAATTAAGCAGTAGTTTGTTCCAGTTAAAAACCATACAAAGTGTATATCTTCTTGTATTTCATGTTTTTAATCAAAATGTCTGATCATGCAAGACAAGGTAAAGTATTTTATTTGGCTTTTCTGTTTTAAGCAAGATTTTTTTAAAAAATAAAAATACTTGCTTTTCCTAGTAGCTGATTGGTGATCTGAAAAGGAGTGCATCTTGAACTCCTGAGATATTTTTGGTTTGAGGAAAATAAAATCAGTTAACAGTTTTCATTCTTTCGCCTACATCAGTTTGGAGTATGGACTATTTGACAGAATATTCAGCGTAACTTATTATTTTGTACTATTTTTATAAAGTAACAATTCAGATAGCAGAACACGCCTCAGATTCTGCTTTATTTTGCTTGGATTGTCTCAAACTTAATTTAAAATACTTGTGGAAAACAAGAAGGAATTGACTTTTTGTGTAGCCATCATGTATGGAGTAACAGAGGTAATAAATCTCTGAACTTGTATATATGGTTTATTCTGATGTGTCTCACATTTGATATTGTTCCACTTGGGGAATTTTGTGTATGTAAATAGAGAGTCTGTTCAAAAAAAGTTTGTTTCTAATTACAGCTTCACTACACTCTGTTTTTGTATCTTTCATAATAAAAGAGACAAACACCATTGTTGTTCTTGTTGATCTTTTTAAATAACACAGAGTTAACTGTGTTTCTAGTTTATATAAATAGTATTTGGGGGGCAGCAGGGAATTACCTGTTCAGGTAATTTCACTGAATGAATTACCCATAACACTGCAGTTCTGGACATCTCTCCACAAGTTTCTGATCTGCTTTGAGGGCTCGGGAAGTAGCTTTAAAAACTATTGAAAATTTCTGTTTTCACTCTGTGGCTGTGCCCATATGACGGGTTGAGCTTTGCTAATGCAGATTCTGATTGTAATGGGACCTAGCTTCTGACAGAGTTTTGTGGTGCTGATATGCATTGTGATTTTTGTGCCTCTTCCAAGTATGACTACCAGTGCAGTCTTCCTAGACCTCTGAGAGTTTCTTTCCTCTGTGAAACTGTGTAGAGCAAAGTGGCCATTGATTTCAGTTGCAGCTATAGCTGCTAGCACCCTGGACATCAAATTGACCTCAGGGAGTTTACCACAGGCAAATTGGTCAATGAAAAATAATCTGGTACTGTGGGGGATACCTGTGCACAACAGGCACTGCTACAGATGTCTGTCATGAAGGCTTCCAGTAGGGATTCATATAAATTAATTTGTCTGGGACCCTGGGCATTTTGGTGACTCTGAAGACTTCGGGGATTTTATGTGTAGCCTTCATTCACCCTTCTTGCATTAAACTGAGCACAAAATATTTGAAGTGGAACAAGGACAAAAGGAGGCACAGGTTGACAATAAAAATATTGATCATAAATCTGAAAACTAAATTAAATGGGAAATAGAGCAAATAAAAAACAAAGGAACAAAATTAGTAGAGGATTTCAGATGTTTTAGTGCAAAAATATTGCAACCCAAAAATCCTCACAATAGAATAAATAGAAATAGAAATAGAAAAACCTGTTTCCTTTAGAATTTTCATAAAACACTGGCATTTGAAGTGTATTAGATTCACAGAGGAAATATCAGAATTTTCCAAGACAAAAAAATCTACAGCTGTACTAATTTGGAACCAAATTAAAAAAAAAAAAAAAAAAAATTCAATCTACCCTGCAACCATTTTCATGTAAAGTATTCTGCTTATGTAAGAAAATTTTTTGTGTGTACTGGAAACATGAAACTGGTTTTAATTTTGTGTTCCTCTCTATTGCCCAATCAAACTGCATTGGAACAGGTAAAATTAGAATAATTAATACCCTGAAGGTATTTGCTTCTGTTAAATACTAATCACTCATCACTCATAAAAAAATACTTGTAATTCACACACACAGTGTCAAATTTACTATATCTAAAGAGCTGTAAAATGTTGATATCCATAAAGGATAGTGATTTTCAGTATATGGAATGCTTTATCCATCTTGATATCTGTTCCAAATACTAAAGTCATACTTTGTTCAAAATAGCCCATTAAAACAGGGATTTTCAGGTTTCTATCATCATTTACAGATTTTTGCTTTTTTTGTTCTTACATGAATATTGAGTATGTGGCTTGTCCAAAACTACGCATATCAGGAAATGTTCAAGTTTTCACTTCCTCCCTGCCTTCTCACATTCCTAAACTAAAACATGAAAAGCTGTCTCAACTGCTAAGACATTAATGTCAACAATCTAAAGCTAGGCAAAATGCTAACAGTCAAAATTTATGTCAGATTAAAATATTCAGCTCTAGCAGTTCTCCTGACTCAAATATGGGAGACAGTAAACATGTATAATAGTTTATTTATAAGGGTAATTGTGACTTCATAACTATTATTTGGTACCTGAAAAATCCCTGATATGTATTTACTCCAGGAAAAGAAACTCATCATAAATAATGGACAGCAGTGTAAGTTTGTCTGTGTGTAGATGGACAGGATGCTGGAGTAAGTTGTTCTAGGAAAAGTTTTATTTATCTATTTTTCTTGTTTAGTTGCCTTCATACTAAAAGTTATTTTTAGAGTGTCTGTATCCTAACATGTTATACTGGCAGAATTATTTGATTACTTAGTCATTCCTTGCTGGAATACAAATTTTGCACATACATACCTTTTATTTAACTTTGTTTCTACAAAAAGCATCTTTGAGCTAGGCTACCTGATACACCTGTGCCTATCTGTTACACTCAATTTAATGCAACTCATGTTATGAAATTACTTTTTGGACTATTTGGGTTGAAATTTTGAAAAAAAACGACATTCTGAAGCTATTAGTGGAACAAATAGGTAGGTAATAGGAGTTAGAAAATAAGGGAGATATTTAGGCAAATGCCCTGAGTTTTGATTATTTTGAATTTTAGTCTCAGGTGGCTCAAATTCCTTCAGTTGCCACATCACCCTAGAGACGTCTAAATGTTTGCTACTGAAAATGGCCGGTGTTTTGTAAATAAAACTTGCATCTTGTTGCCATGCTTTGACTAGAACAGAACAAATTCTGATATGGTTTAAAAAGAGAAAGCCCAGTACTTGGTGCAACTTGTCTCCTTGGGCTTCGCATACAGTTATAAACTTATCTCCAAAAAGCTTTTGGTGGTCACAGAATCACAAAATGAACTAGGCTGGAAAAGACCTTTAAGATCATCTGCTCCAACCTATGACCTAACACCTCCTCATCAACCACTAAGTGCCACCTCCAGTCTTCTTTTAAACACGCCGACGGATGGTGACTCCACCACCTTCCCGGGCAGACGATTCCAGTGCCCAACACTCTTTCAGTGAGGAATTCCTTTCTAACATCCAACCTAAACTTCCCTTGGTGCAGCTTAAGACTGTCCCCTTGTTCCGTCAGTTGTTGCCTGGGAGAAAAGACCAACCCCCACCTGGCTACATCCACCTTTCAGGCAGTTGTAGAGAGTGATAAGGTCTCCCCTTTTTTTGCATGCTAAGCAACCCTTGTGGGTGGCCTGCTTAACAGTGGGGCAGTGGAAAGGCGCCTCACAAAGCTCTGTTCGCCCCACGTTCTAGCACGACTGCTGCCTTCCCTCCTCACCGCCGCTTCAGGCGGGGCACTGTCGGGGCTTGGCCCCTGCCAGGGGCTGAGGGTGTCTGCTGCAAGGGCCCCCTTGGATTTGAAAAATAAATTTCTCGAGACATCGGGGCTGGGACCCATACAGACGAATTTTCACATATTTTCCAGGGGTTGCCAAGGTATTTCCGAGAGGAGCTTTTCAGCCCGGACTCGGAGACCGCTAAGCGCAGCGGAAGGGGGCCCGGGCCGCCCGCGCCAGGCCCTGCCCACTGCCGGCGGGCGGGCGGCTCCAATGGCGGCTCCCGCGCGCCGCTGCTCGGGGTGAGACGTCTCCGTCCCTGAGCGCCGGCTGAGGCCCGGGAGAGCCCGCGCCGCTATGCGATTTCGGGCTAAAATCGTGGATCTCGCCTGCCTCAACCACTTCAGCCGTGAGTATGCCGGGGCAGGGTGAAGGGCGGCAGTGCCTCGCTGAGCGACTAGGGCCGGGTTTCTCGGGCAAAGGAAAGGGGAAGGGAGATGAGAACCGCTGTGCTTTCCTGGGAGGAGGTGGCGCTTTCCCTCACCCCGAGGTGTTTAAGAGTTTGCGCAGCAGCACGAGCTGAGTTTGTAAGAGCTGAAGGATTTCTGTCCCGCAGAGATCGGGGTGCATGGAGCTGTCACCGCTGTAACATCTTCCCTCCCTGTCTCCCTCCCTCAGGTATAATTAACACAATCGCCAAGTTAGCCAAGACCTGCATCCTGCGTCTTACTGTCTGCAAGCTGTATTTCATCCTCTCCGATAAAGTAGCAAATGGAGGCGCCAGTATGTGGTGTGAGCTGAGTCAGGTGAGCCCAGGAAAGTTCAGGAGCCGCATGTTGAGAACCAGAGCATGCATTTGGGTTTGGTGTACGGGGCGTTTCTTGTAGGCCTCACCTTCGATGTGCCAGGTCTCTCAAGGTTTGTCTGGATGCACAGGTGTTTCAGGCTGGATATTCCCTTTTCCTTGATTGTCGCTTGAGTGTAGAGCTTCAGTGTGTGCTGGCACACATGGGCCTGCCCAAATCTGGAAACAGGAAAGCATAACTCACTGTTTAATGGACTCATTAGGTGTTCAGAGAGGACATTAATTGGTTTAGCCTGAAGCAATGAGTCTTCACGGTTGTGCAGCCTGTTGTGTTTCCTCAGATGATGGCAGGCAGAGGGTAATTTCTGCTGCACACATGCAGATCTAAGCTGAAGGTCTGATAAAACGTGCCCCTCTTGTTTGCTTTATTTCCCGGCTTTCAAAAATTGTAGGGGAATTTCTTCGATGAGTTTCAGATGGAAGGAGTAGCTGCAGAGCACAATGAAATCTATTTAGAGTTGGTGCCTGAGAACCTGTCGAGAGCATTGAAAACTGCCCAAAGTGCTAAGGCAGTGAAGATCAAGTTGACTAATAAACACTGTCCCTGTCTCAGAGTTGCTGTGGAGCTAGTAAGTGCAACCATGCTTTCACTTTCATTATTAAGAAAATGTTCTTTAAAATTTAGTGCTTTTCCTAAGATTGAAGGGTAATATTTGGTGTAATTCTAGAAAACTAAAGAAACATTGTGCCATTTTCCATTTCACTAGCCTTTCTTGGTCTAGCCATCATGGTTGGTTGCATACAGAACCAGCTTTGTATTTTCCAAAAGGCAAGTGGGAGGTGGAGGAAAAAAGAAAGCTATGTTATTGAAACAACTTTTTCTGATGTCTGCTTTTCTCCATTCCTTCATCATTTGTATCTTATGTGGATTATTGCCTTTTCATTGAAGCCATTAGGTGAAGGAGGTTTCAGTGTTTGGCTCTGTGTTTTGCCATTGGTTTTCCTGATATTGTATGGTGACTTCTGATTCTTTTGTTGTTGTTAACTCCGCTGATTCACCTTATCAGCTCCAAGGATAGCTTATAGGTACACTAATGACTGATACATCACAAATCCTTCCTCATTTGACAGGGAAGTCCACTTAAAAGCATACTGATAGGAACCTAGGGAAAACTGGAACTGAGTGTCAGGCATGTAGTTACAGCATTTCCCAGAGTGGGTATGAAAAATTTAAATTTAGAATTCCAGTCTTGTGTTTAACTGCAAGAGCATCCTCTTTTTCCCTCAAGCCATCCTTATCAAGCAGCAGTAGGATTGTGACACATGACATTCCTGTGGGAGTTATTCCCAGAAGAATGTGGAATGACTTCAGAGAGCCCAGTGTGCCAGACTTTGATGTAAGCCTCTGTTTTTATATTCCCTACTGAGTTTGCAAGTGGAATGGTATTGCTACACAGTATACTACTGGTGGGGTTTGGAAGGGAGTTGAAAGAGGGAAGATGGGAGGCAACAGTTTTGGAGGGATATGGAACATGGCTTCTATCCTGACAAGAGAGCCAAGAACCTATGGAAACAGAATTGGTGATTGCCAATTTCCTCCGTAATGTTCACGGCAAAGGAAAGGAGGAGAAAAGGACTTGCATGGCTTTAGTCTGGAGCACCTCTGAACCACACAAGTTTAGACTGTTTCAGCTGTTCAGGTGCCAAATGGCCCAAATATTCTGTTCTTTCTGAAATTTATGGCCTATCTGGCAGAGTTAAATATATATGTATTTCCTCCTGATTTTTATATAACCTCACAATATCCTTTTTGACTTTTAGCAGAGTTGCAAGGGAAGGTCCTTGTACAAATGTGATCCTATTTGAGGTTGTGGGTGTCTGTTACTCTACAGCTAAGAGTATTTAGATTCTGAAGACATACAAGAAGATACTTGAAATATTTTGTTCTTTTATTTCAGATTTACACTGCTGCAGTTCCAGAAATTACTGCAGTGTCATGGGAATCTTGTTCTTTCCTTTTTGACTGTAGTAATTGACTATTTAGTAGCACAGATGTTCGTGTGAGAGTCTAATCTGTAAAAACATACCTATATTTTGAAGACAGAATATTATGTCTGGAATAATTGCTAGAATGATGGCCTATTGTTATAATGAGAGAGAGTTCCTCTATTCCTGAGATATTTGCTGATTTCAGATAGATATTGTGCATACTGAAAGCCATAGATAACTCAGTCCAAACTAAGATAGAATTGAAAGTAGAAATAAATGTGTCCCAATCACATCTTAAATGCTTGTGCAAATGCAGTTCTTCTGTATTTCTAGGTCAGTATTTACCTACCAGTCCTGAAAACAATGAAGAGTGTTGTGGAAAGAATGAAGAATCTCAGCAATTTCATTGTAAGTTAAGACACTTAAAGCATGTATGCTACAGATATTATTTCACTAGGGACATAACATGTTTCCTAAACTGGTGCTGCCACATCATCTTATTTTGAGATGAGTTAGACACTGAAATCAAAGCGCTTGTAGCCTGTGTAAAGATGAAAATAATGATGGGATTTATTTTAGGATTTACACTGAAGAGCTTTTCCTGGGCTTATCAGAAATTGATGATCTTTGTACTAAATCCATGAAAGCACATTGTGTTTCTACAAGCCACTCTTTATAGCTGGTAAGAAATTATAGTCCTTCAGGAAGCTAGCTGGAGACTTTCCAGGTTATTTCATTAAGGAAATGCCTATTGAGTGTTGTGTTAGGTGTCTGTGAATGAACTTTAGGTAAACTCGATATAGGATTTAAAAGAAATTCTGCTAATAGCCCTGGGATGTCATACTGTGCTTCAGACTGACATGTTGGGTTTGCAGTCTTCCCTGGATTTCTAGAGTGTCAGTGGGTCTTTTAATTGAAAGAAGCCCTCTGCAGTTGAACAGAAAAGGGTTTTGGCTTTTTATTGAGTTGTTTTTGCTCACAGTCACCATAATTGACAGAAATGAAAGTAAATAAGTGTAGAGCTTTGGAATAGTTTAGGGTTGATGCTGTTCATACCAGTTCTGATAAACAGGAAAATTTCTGTTAACGGAGAATCCTGAAATTGGGACAGTCTTGGTCTTTCAAGACTTGGAAGAGTTGAGAGATTACCTTGGGTTACTGGCAGTTTGGCAAATGCCAGTCATCCTGCAAATATATGTATTTTCTTTTGTGAGAATTTTGGGGGGCTTTTTTTTTTCCTTTCTTTCCTTCCTCCGTGTCCTTGGTGGATATGCTTACACAAAGTTGAGCACAGTGCTTTTGTTTCTAGAGCTGAGGCTCTTTTCTCACACAGGATAGTTGAATGATGAGATTGAATTCATACTAAGTGTTATGAATGCACTCAAGAGAGTGATATGATTCAATCAAAGAAAATTTTATTAATTACAGCAAGCAAGCAATAAGCAAAAATCAGCGCTGGGCGACTGCCGCGCCGTCAGTTTCCGTATTCCCCCTTTTAAGCTATTCAGCTTCCGGGTTACGTGTCCGTTCTCGGGTGTCTCTGCGCATGTGTCTCTGGTTGTTAGGGGGTCTTTTTCTGCCTTCTGGTGGTCGCGGGATGAAGTTCAAGAGTCTTCCTCAGTCCTCTCCCTTTGACCTTTTCTCACTGTTTTCTTTTAAGGCTTATCTCAGTTACTTTCTGGAATTCAAGAAAGCTCGCAAGGGCATTAGTAATTTATGCAACCGTCGGTAGCAGCCTTCAACCTCATCCTGATTCCACAAAGCATAGCTTTGCAAAGCATCGTATCTTATATGTTTAGGTGAACAAAAGGGTCTCTACTTACACAATCATCACACTAAGTGCCTTGCTTTCATGCTGTTAGAGAACGAAAAAACATCAAGTGTCACAATTAATTATTTTTGCAAAATGCATCTGGTAACGAAACTGTCAAGATCGGTGCTGCAAAATGGGCTTAGAAGCAATTTTTGATAGTACTTGTCCATTTTTTGTGAACTTGGCATCTCCATTCTATACAAGATTCTGGTTGCAGTACAAGTAATTTTTTTTTAAAATTGCTGAGAATTCATCTAATCACAGAAACTAAGTGCTTAGTTGTGCTTTAGGAATCCTCTGATATGCTTGGGGTTTGTGTAAGACCATATATAGTCTCCTTCAAATTCCTCCTCCCAGCTTTCAGGATGGAATTTAAAAGCTTTTAGCACTTTTCCAGGATTTCTGCTAGTTCAAAGTCCTTCTTGGAGTTACTGATCTGATCCAGCTGTTGTCTATTTTAAATTCTTGAAAGCAGCACCGTCAGCTCCTGGTGCATCCCATTTTCTGCGTGTCATACAGACCATGCCTTTCCATGTGTTGAACAACTGAATGGAAATTCAGGAATCTTTGCATTTCTTGAGCCTCAGTCTCTTGTTTCTCATGACTTTTCCTCAGCACATGAACTTCCCGAAGCTAATATTTGTTCTAAAAGTACTGGGGAGCAATTAAATGTCTTTCTTTTCAAAATGGAAAAAGTTCTGTCTAGAGTAATTCATATGGGAATGATGGGAAATGCATTTTATAGCTGAACATTCAACTGTCCAAACCATTTTCAGAAAGTATGGTTGACTTGCACTGAAGTACTCCTGGAAGCTTGTATTTGAACAAAACCAAACCGTATTCTTCTGTAATTCTGCAGTGTGAAAGTGGGTTGCCTAAAACTGAGATTGTTTGCAGGTGATTGAAGCAAACTTGAGTGGTGAAATGAACTTGAAAATAGAAACTGACTTAGTATCTGTAACAACACATTTTAAAGACTTGGGAAATCCTCCCTGGGGTGAGTTTCCCTGTTACCTCTTGTGTCTGTCTGATCTCATTACTTAAGTGTGTTGCTTGTAACTGTATTTACCTTTTATTCTTTAGAAAATAGCATCAAGTACTTTGAAGTCTTCAAATGAAATCTTAAAAGAAAAAGTGGCCAGTGGAATGTCTGTTTCATGTTTGGGGTGGTGGTGGGGAATCTCTTCCATTAATCTTGGCAGTTTTCTACCAAACTGGGATTTATTTTCCTTACACTGTTCTGAAAAATAAACCATTTGAGTTCCAGCGCTTCAGCAGTTTTCAGGTGTTACCCTGAAAACTAAAGCCTTCTGATAATGTTTTCATAGTTTTAGTTACTTTCCCATGAAAGTTCTATAAACATAAGTTGTTTATCACAGTCCTTCTAAGAAACATCTTTTGATGAACGTTTCGCATGACCGGTGTGCTTGGGAAGGTGGTAACTTAATTATCCAGTCCCTAGTCATTGTCAAGAATCTATAAATACTGGAGTCAGACAATAAAGGTTACTTCTTTCCTGTTCTAACATTGAAAAGTGTTCGTGTGAATCATTTCATGTCCTTTAGCGACATACAGATGTGTCCTTATGGGCGTTGAAACTGCTTTTTATGTCTGGACTAAGTGTTGTGTCCTTACACTTTTAGCATCAGAGGATGGATGTCAGAGTTCTGCTCAAGGCAGAGATCTGGAAAGTATGGCTGAAGCACGCATAGACATCAAGAAGCTGCAGCAGCTGCTTGCTGGACAGCAGGTCAATCCTACAAAAGCATTGTGCAGTAAGTTCAACAGCTCTGCCCATGAACTCCAGTTAAGTAGGGATGTTTGCCATACTTAGTTTCAGCAAAATACCATGTCTTCTGTTTTGTCTGTCTGAAAGTCAACTATTTTTACTGTATCTGAGGTCTTCTAATATTTATACTTTTAGGCAGTAAGATTCAGGTACTAGGCATTTGGGGAAGAAAAAATAAAATAAGTCATGCCTTTTTAAAAGTCTCAGACTGAATACTCAGGCTCACTAATCATGTGTGTTGTCTTGTTGTCATTGTTTTGAAGTTGTTATTAATTTTTATTATTATTTTGAGCTATTATTTTTTGAAAGTCTTAAAGCCTCTAGCTTCTAGCAGAGAAATTGGAATTTACTGGTATGTTTTTTTGGTTTTCTTTTCTTCCCTTTGGATGCTTTCTTATACTCATGCTAATACTAAAATTCTTTCTAGACAGCTAGTGTTTCTAGCCATAGAAACAATACTTCCTTTCTAGCAGAAGTCTATGCAGGGGTTTATATCCTATTTTTATAACTCTGTGTGCTTTTCCTGAGAACATCTGTTTGTAATGGTTTAGTGGAGATGCTAAGAATTTCCCAAGGAAGATTTAAATAATGGGTGTAGCATTATAAACCTATGTACTATATATTTACTCTTTGGTATCATCTTTCATAAATTATTAATGCTTCACAGACCCCCAAGGATTTCAATTGTCTAGTTACCCTTCTGTCAGAAGTGGTGGAAGCATTGTTCTAATGATGGCATCTTTAAAAGATGTAATTTTAAAGTATTTTTCCTGCTTTAACATGGACTTTTGTTTTAATGTTTTTTTCCCTCTTTACAGATATTGTACATAAAAGAATTGTCCACTTCATCTTGCTCCATGAGGAGGTTTCACTTCAGTATTTTATTCCAGCAATTGCTTGAGTCTTTTGGAATCTTGGTGATTTTCCAACCTGAGGCCTCTTTCATGAAGTCTGAAATCTTTCTGGAGTTGCTGGAGTATTTTGATGTGAGACACTGTTAGACACAGCTATCAGATGGACATTATTTCAATATTTATGGAAGTATTCAGAATACTTCCTCATTCAGACAGAAATTTCTGTGAAGAGTTATATGTTATGAAAGACACAATGCTGGGGAGCTTTGGTATATCTTACTCTGAGAAGGAGAAAAACTGAAATTTTCCTTACCCACAGTGCAAAGCATCCCAAAAGCACGCTCAATTAAATACTTCAATCTCCTCAAAAAACTAAAGGTAGAATTTGCCTCTGGAGCTGCTGCTGTGTGCATTCAGTATTGAGCAATGCAATCCAAGTTAAGGGATCTCTGAGCAAGCTCTCATACCTCCATGAAACAGGAGAGCCTTCTGGAGAGTTGTGAGATTGGTGTTTGCCTGGACTAGTATGCACAGCCCTCCTAAAGGGGTATGGAATTGAATTCTATTCCAGTAGAAATGTTTGGATTAAACTTGGTACAACATATCTCAGTAGCTCTCTTTGTGTTTACTCTTTGTTTAACTCTTGGCCTGAGAGGACAAGCACAACAGTCTGGATTACTTTGTTCATGTGGGCAGTGAAAATCCCTATGTACAGAATGAGTATCATATGAAGACATGTGTGAGCACAGCAATTGGTGTGAAATAAAGAACAGATTTTCTGTGGATCATATTTTTGCCCTTTCCAGATCAAAAACATTGTACAATCTGTGTCAGACATGATGAGATTGCGTCTAGGCTCTCATGCCAAGCAGCCAAGAGCATGACTAAATTTCACTCATGGGAGTACTGCCCCTGCTTCTACCTCCTGGTTATTTTCGAGGTCTTTTCCTCCTTATTCCATTGTGATTTGTTATCCTGGCATGTTTCATATAGCCTTTGATTATTTTAGTGATTGAGTCTATGCTGCCAAATGAGACTTGGAGTTTCTTCTAGAAAGTAACTTGTCATGGTCAGAAGTGCTGGGTTTTTGATTATTGGGTCTTTTTCCAAGGGGCACTGATGTTAAGGGAGCAATGAATCTTTTGTTCATGGAGATGCAAATGCTCAAAAGAAGGCTGAAGGAGAGGCAGTGAGAAGATAGAATAGACTTGAAGTGATGAGTGTGTCCACTGACTGTGTTTATAGGACTATCTACCTGCTCCCTCTTTGTTCTTCCCTGCTCTCCCTTGCCCTGCACATTGCCCCATCAGTTGTCATATCTTCACCCACTGCCTGCAACATGCTGAGGTTTGCATCTTTACCACTTGCAAAGTCCCGTTTTGCCTATGTTGGGAGTGGAGCTTGATAAGCAGCCACTCATTCACACCTGGTGGGATGGGGGAAAGAATTGGAAGGGTAAATATTGAGAGACCGCCAGCTATTCACCACCCTTCACAGAAGTAAACGTGAACGCCGTTTATTTCCATTATTAACACACCTTTCATAGGGTTCTACAGGGTCCGCGGGCTAAGCAAATTACTATTGGCTAATACACACAGGTTTACATTCTTTCTCTTATACACAAGGATATTGTTTTGCTTTACTCTCTCTTCTGCAGGAAGGTTTCAAGGACTTTAGCCTTTAATATCACGACTTATTTCAAAGACTGGTTTGTGCAGACAGGCCTTTACTAATATATAACAATATATCAACAGGTAGCTGCTGCTAAAGCCCTTGGTGAGCTTTCTCACCTGGAGTGTTGGCTTGGTAAGCAAGCCAACCTGACCTCCTCTGTCCTGAGCGACCTCTTGACAGAGGAAGAGACTGTTAGGCACGCCACGCTACAAAACCAAGCTGCCACAGACTTTCTGCTCCTGGCCCATGGACACGGCTGCAAGGAGTTTGACAGACTGTGCTGCTTTAACCTCTCCAGCCCCAGCGAAGGCATCCACGCCCGCATCCAGAGACCCCAACATGCAGTCCAGGAACTCAAGACTGAAAAGGAGCCCCAGTGGTTTGAGGACCTTTTTGGGAGCTGGGGACTCAAAGGATGGGTTGCCTCCCTCCTCAAAAACATTTTTTGGGTTTTCCTAATTATTATTATTTTCCTATGTATGTTTTCATGTTTTAAGAAGTTATTAGCCAAGTCTCTGGGAGATGCCCTTTTAATAAGTAAAGAAGGGGGAGTTGTAGAAAACGGCACTCTAGAAAGCAGTTCTGGTGAGAGAGGTGCGTTTAAAGCAGCCCTACCACGCGGGACAGCTGTTTGGTGGTGCCGCTCCCTGCAGGGGCTTGGAATGGTGTTCCAAACTCTCTCTGTCCTCTCCAGAGCTCTGTTCCCGCTTTTCAGGTCAGCATTTATCTGTTTCATTATGTTAAAAATGAATCTCCCAAGTTTTTAAAACCTTTATAGCATCATCATCCCCTTTTGAGACTGCTATAAGAATATAATGTCCAGTCCGTTGCCACATATTTGTATCAAAAGCCACTTCTTTGGTTGTATCTAAAACGTGGTTCTTTGCCCACGTTATGAAAGCTAATAAAGCTTTTTTTGTCATATTCTAATCCCATTTCTTGTAAAAAGAGCAATCACACCTTCAGCAGTGGAGGTGGTTGAGTGGATATCCAGTCTCCCTTAGCTCTGATGAGTATTTTCTTCTATTTGTATGGATAAGGCCAGAAACTCTTAGGGATTTTTAGCGAATTTTCGCTGCAAACAGCTTTCTTCACTGTGTGAAAAATGAGGTTCACATAATTTTTATAGAATTTTAAAGTTTAATAAAAAAAACAATTAAGAGAAAAAAATAAAGTATACAGATATGGCCAGGTGTCTCTGCATTCAACCAAGGTGTTAGTAAGGTGAATGCACCCTGAGTGAAGTCCATAATGGAACAGGAGTTTGGGACAAAGAAGGAAGTCCATGGCAGCTTCATTCTTCTGAAAGAGGCATATATTGCCTAAAGAGAACAGGAAGCACATATGTGGGAAAGAGCGTTTGTGACTGGACTTTATCTGTGAGTTTAGATTGTTGAACCCCAAACTGCCCTCCTTATGACTGGCAGATGGAGTCAAACGCATGTTAAGCTCAGTAATGGTAGCTGAGTAAGGTGTTCCTTCCATAATTACCTGTAACTTTTCTCTAAAAAATCCTTTTTCTGTTTCTCTGTTTCTCCTGCATCTCTTCTGTATTTTTCTTTTTATTCTTGGATTTCTCAGCCTCCTTTGGACTGAATTCTTTTGGGATCCTTCCTCGTTGGAAGCCCTGCTTATCTCAGTTCTTATGGTTCAAAGAAAACTCCTGAACTCGTTAGAATCTTGTTTCTCATGTTTATTAACAGGTCATCACAAAACTTAACAGGTCT